GTGCTTTTCCCACCCAGCTATCAAACCCAGAAACAAAGCTCACATCAATATTGCCTAAAATAAAGAGCCAAAATAAGTTTTCATGTTTATTTTTTACAATTTCATTTTTAAAACACTGTTGTACATACATTTTTCCAGGTTCTTCCATTTTCATTGCACTTAAAAGTTTCAACACACATAAAAATATCCCTTTACTAAACATCTTTGTTTTCAGATTACAAAAAGTTTTGATATTTTCACAGTCACAATGTTTAAGTACACTGATCCAAACCATTTTTAACCCAACAGACTCTTTTTTGTTGTTTGGAATACTGAACCTAGAAAATAATACATTCCTTAAGTACAGTCACTGTGCCAAAATGGGAATGGAAAAAATATGGCAGCTGCTGAATTAAACTGAAATACAATGGAAGAACAAAAAGTGGAGGTTGACAGGGAAAAGCCTCCTTCAAGTATAATGTAGATAGATTTTGGCAGAATGGCTGAAGAGGTATTTGGCCACTGTCTACATGATATCTATAACATCAACTTCATACAACAGGAAAACAAAGTTACAAGAGAGAAAGCATGCAGATTTCACATAACTCAATACATGAGATACAAACCACAGAAACACATATGCAAAGGGCAAGATGTGATGGGTTTGGCAGAGTTTTGTACTACATGGTTAAGTGCGGACAAAATATCAATGTTCAAAAGAAAAGACCTGTGAAGTATTTTAATTAATGATGTCACGTAGAGAGTTGCTATTCCAGCAGTCATTTCAAGAGCATTCCTGTGAACAGTACCCTTTAAAGTTTCTTATTGGCTGACTACTACCACTTTTTCTAAGTAGTATGTATTGCTGGACTTAAATTTCAGTTAAGATGCATCCCTTCTTATTAAGGGCATTTTAAGAATACTCAAAGGGAGCTAATATAATGATTACTTGTTGCAAGAATCATGTATAGATTCTAGACAACAAATTTCTTGGTAAAGGAAATTTTGGACTACTGTTGAATCTAACCATAATGGGAAAATTCTCTAAGAAGTTGTATTTTATTTTGATATTGTTACTGAATGGAAAAAATGCCCTTTGTTTGGAATGATTAGTCTAGAGCTTTTCCCAGAGGTTTTTTTTTTTTTAAAGGGGGGGAGGGAGAATGAGGATGAGGAGATGAGCAGAATAATTTAATAAGGTTTCTCCTGTGCAATTTCTATAATTCTTACTTGGTGAATTACAAGGAGCCTTAGCACTGATATATTTCCATAATGGAAATGAATCTCCTCCACCTTTAACCGCCTACTTGCCTAATGCTCTTCTAAATCTAGCCTTTGTAAGACATGCAATATGAGACATTAGATTCACTGAGGCCCCGTTCACACGAGGCGATTTGGCCCGGGAACGGGACAGTTTGGAGGCGGATCAAAGCAGCGCGATCACACCACAACATCTGGGAAGCGTTCTGCTTCCGCCTCCAAACTGGCCCAAACCCGGGAAGAACCGCCTCAAACTGAACCACCTACCTCGGTGGTTCAAATGGATGAGGCGCCTCTTCCCGGGCGTCTGATCGCCGGCGCGTCTTTGCGCCGGCTCAAGCCCGGGCCGGAGCCGAACTGCGCATGCTCCGACATGTGCAGATCGGCCGGCTCCCGGTTAGAGCCGTCTTTTCTCTCCGGCGTTTGATCGCGCCGGGGAGAAAAGGCGGCTCGGCCGGGGGATCCGTGGGATCCCGCCGAGCCGTATCAACGTTGGCGCGGCTTTTAAAAGCCGCGCTTTAAAGGGCTTTTCCCCTGCCGTGTGGCAGGGGCCTTAATTTCCCTTTTTGGAGTTGTTTCAGTGATCAGTGACCTACTATGTTAAAAATGTATTGTGATACCAATGGTAATTTGTCCAATCTGCCATCACTTTTGTTCTTTCTCACCTATGGCTAAGAAACCTTTAATATCCCATAATCATTCACCACAACGATGCACACTGTAACCCCATTACTTTAACACAGTTTTCAGCAGTGTTTTGAGTTATAAAACTGTTGGAGTAGCCGCATGAACACAGCTTGATTATTTCTAAATTCCATGTTATGTTTAACACAAATGATTACGTATTACTATATACATGACTCTGATATAAACACTTATTAGGGAAGTATAGACAGAGCTTTGCTGTCCTAGTGGAACTTGCTGTTAGCAATATGGTTTGCATAGCGTTCTACTCACTTTCACAAATGCTTTGTGTTGCAGCCCGGTAGTAAAACACACAGACTCTTATAAAATAATGTTCATCTGGAAAGTGCATTACTGTCTCAAAACTGTCATTTTTTGGAACAAAACCTGAAATGTTTTAATATCGGGAAATATTAATATCCTAAAGGAGCTCTACAGAAGCTCTAAAAGCAGGTATGAACCATAGCTTGAGCGTACCTTTTAAAGAAGGTCAGTAAAAGTTTCAGAATCAATGCTGAGTTCATTCTGAGGGTACAAATGTCATTCACTTTCCTCTAAATACAAACGTCTATTTTTCGCTTTTTTAAGAACTCTTGAGTTGGCTAATAGCCTTTCCCAGATGTTCTTTATAGCCAATGCAGCTTTATCTATGCAAAGTCACTGAGCTGGGTGAGATATTTCGTGCTAGTAGATAGAAGACAAAGAATTCTTACATATAATGCTTTATATAAACCATTCATTCCTGAAATTTTATCTGAACAGCAGCAATATTTGTGGGATTCTATGGGGAAAAATTGATTTAAGCCTGCTGCTTCATTTAAAACAACTAACATTACTATAATTACTTTGAAGATGCTGCTAATAGAAGAATATATATTTTCCATTGCGGATTAGGTGAACTAAATAGTGCTTGCAACTGTACCATTAAATCTGGATAAAGTAATGTAAAAACACAAACACTTGAAATGAAGCTTTCATTAACACGTTTCAGATACACACCATTTTCCATGACATGATAGAAGGTAACAGTCTACATAATGTATTAGTTAATACGTTCTATTCCTGTTGCTGCTCATTCTCATGCCCATCTACCATGACAAATCTCTTTCAGAGCTGTAATCAAGACTACTTGGAATTGGAGTGAAATAAAAATTGTATCTGTGGTGTTCCTGCAATGGCAATAGTATTTTCATTCTGGGTGATACCAATGAGATGGTTTACTACCAAAATTTTAATTTTCCTACTAACAGCACTTGGAAATGGTGAATGTGTTCCAGTCCTGTGCAAAAAAATACACTTCCAGTGATCATCTCACAAAATGAGGAAAAACAGTAAGGTCTATAAATCGTTTTCAGGGCACATACTGCATTCAAAAGTGATGGAAAATATGGTAAGTGTACAAGTCAAAGATTTACTTCATGGGAATGGCCAAAATAAGACAACGTGAATGCTTATCCAGGTAAAGAGTTTATGTGGAAATGAATTCTAAACTACACCACACCCAGATTTCCTCCGGCAATATTAAGAGAAAGTGATCTGAACAGGTGGGAGGAAGTACAGAAGTAATATACTGAAAATAATTTCACTGCTGTCTTGTGGAATGGCTCTGCTTTATAGAACATCTGCTTCTTATTAAAACGTTGTACACCAGACATAACCAAGTCTAACACACATTTCTCTGATGACAATGAGATGTAATTCAAGTCAGAAGCAAATTATCGTCTTCTGAACTGTCTGATTTCAGACTGAAGCTTAATGAAGTGGCATGTTGGAAGAAGCATTTGTATTGGAGTATGTCTTCTATAGCAGCTTAAATTAAACACCTGTTCCAGGAGAAATATACAATTTATTATTTAAGCAAATTATTATTTCCAGACCAACAATATTTAGGAAAATAATTAGCTAAATGGATCATGGGACCATGTGCTGTTCTCATCTTAAAACTAGCAACTTCCCTTTTAGGAAGAACAGTTGAGACCAGTCATCTACTAAATGGTACTTCCAAGAACATTCCAGCTCAGTTTCTCAACTAGCTTTGTTTCAAACATTGTCTTCTTTACGATATGCATGCCACTCTTTACCTCAAATGGGTGGTCTAGACTTTAGTGGTAAAGTCCCTCGCTTCTGAGGCACTATCTGCAGAACCTGACTTTCTAGCCACTTGTAACTGCTCGAATGATGGTAAAGCTACATAGAAATCCCATTGTAGAATAGATAAATCTGATGTTGTGCAGGTAAATATGAATATAATTCTTTTGCTTAATTTTTTTATTCTCTTACTATGTGGATATATTGAGCACAGTAGGCAGAACAGCAAACAAGCCAATACATGTTGCCTTTATAAAAGGCTCTTTTCTCTGTCTTCCAAGTTTATACTATCAAGTACCTCTACCCTCCAATACAATATCTCACCGGTGATTACAGAAGCAGCAAAAGAAAGTAATGCTAAAGTAGCTTAGTAAGAAAAGATGGAAAAGATTTGTTCAGAAGGAGAGCTCCAAAACACTCTAGTAATAGATAAAGAATAGACTTGGAAAACAAAAATTTACTAAGTACAAGAAATGATTACACAATATATAAGTAACGATCCTTTCAACAGGATATATGTTCAATAGACAGAAGCATTCAATGAATGAAAAAGTCTGGTGCCAAAGAAATGTTTACTTCTGGGAATACCTTTCTACAGTAAGATTTTTCCCAGTCTGCTACATCATAGTTACAGAAACAAAAATCCTTACAACAACAACAAAAAAAGACACAAGGATACATTTCCAAGCCAAACAATTTTTCACTCTCCTCTTAGGCAACTTTGCTAGTAGCATCTATAAATTAGAATTTCAGAGGAAAAAAATGACTTTACCACCTAAATATATAAAATTAACAGCAAAGATCCAAGAATTCTAAGATACAAGAGGGGAAAAAAACTTGAATTCATGTCCATAAATAGATTCCTTCAGAAGTTCACTAAAATATTACTACTTTTTTAAAAAATCACATTTCATACTTGTCAGATCATGTTTTTTTACCTTAATATGTTATACATCTATTTGTTCTAAAGAAAAGTTAATTTGGGTGGAGACTGGCTACTTTACTAGTTTCCACTTCACATCCAGGAGACATTTTCAGGCTACATTGAACTGGAAAAGATAAAGGAATTTATCAGATCACAACAGGGTCCTCACCAGGAGGAATATTAAAAAGGAATCACTAATACACTAGCAGCATTGAAGTTCTGCCCCTGATATGCATCAAAAGACACTAACACAGGGAAGCTGCAACTCTTATGAGATACTTTTAATCATATACAATTTAGCCCCCATAATTAAGGTAGAAATGTTCCCCATCCAGCCAGGTTTAGAATAGAACATATCCAAAATTGCTGTTATGTTTTAGCAGCCTGTCTTCTTTTGGTGCTTCTTTTATGACAGTTTGTTCCCATGTATTAAAGGGATGACGTAGACAGAAATGTCGTCTCCTGAGCCCAGTCTGTCATTGGATATTCTCCAGCCTCTGTCTTTCAGCACTCCCCTGGCTCGCATTACCAGATCCTGAGCTGCTAACGTGTACCTACAAGTTATTTTTTAAAAAGCCACAGATCAGAGATATTGTACAAAAGTAAAGCTTTATCACATTAGAGGGAAACCATTCCACATATTCTCTCTTTACAGTACAATTGAGTAGCCAAGGATATGGCAGATATACTTACAGAAAGTTTCTAGAACACAGGAATAGCTATTGTGAATTCTCCTACATGTGCCTTTTCTGCTTATACTTGATAAGACTACCATCAAAAGGCAGTATCAGGTATGATAGGTCATGGGGAAACAAAGTATTTATGATATATAGTGTTCAATCCAACATCAGCTTTTTAATGTTAAAATAAACATACTGAATTGTTCTTAAATGACTCATGAAAAACCATCATGAAGACCCAATGGGGTGCTGCTCAATCCAACACAGCTGTGTTATAAAATATATGCCGCTGTATGCTGCACCATGGAGCTGCGGTGGCTCAAGTGGTTAAGACGCTGAACTGCAGGCTGTGGAAGGTCAGTAGTTCAGCGGTTCAAGACCCGGGTGCCGCAAGACAGGGTGAGCTCCTGTCTCTAGTTCCAGCTCCTGCCAACCTAGCAGTTCGAAAGCAAGAAATTGCAAGTAGATAAATAGGGACCACTTCGGTGGGAAGGTAACAGCGTTCCGTGCGCCTGGGTGTTTAGTCATGCCGGCCACATGACCACGGAAACGTCTTCGGACAGCGCTGGCTCTTCGGCTTTGAAACGGAGATGAGCACCGCAACCCTAGAGTCGGATTCGACTGGCTTTCGAGCAAGGGAACCTTTACCTTTACCTTTATGCTGCACCAGCCACAACTTCCAAAAGACACACGTCAATGGCTTGGATCCTCCAGTAATTTCCACAGATAAAAGAGATTTCCATCAGCAGAGCAGGACGACTTTGTCCCTCCCATTCTAGTACACCTCAAAATGCCCTCCAAAATAATGCTCTTGGGGAACAGGTTGCCAACCTCCAGGAGGGGCCTACAGGTCCCCTGGAATTACAAATGATCTTCAAACTACAGAGATCCATTCCTTTGGAGAAAACGGCTGCTTTGGAGAGTGGGCTCCATAGCATTATACCCCACTGAGGTCCCTTTCTTCCCCACCTTCCACCCAAACCCCACCCTCCCCAAGTTGCACCTCCCAAATCTCCAGGAATTTCACATCATGGAGTTGGTAACTTTACAGGGGACTCCCAGGGACAGCATGAGAGATGGTTCAGAGATATGTAGCAGGAAATCAATGAAAATCCTCCTCCCACTTACATTCATGGAAATCCTTTGGGCAATCCAACCAACAGTTGCTAGGCCTGAAACAGTGGTTGCAGCTGTTGAACAACACAGCAGTGATCACAGAATGAGTTGCTAGCTCGCCACTTTATAGTCACATAGAACAATGTGGTAGTATGACTTTGACAGAAATAATAATGGTCTTCATGCCAAGTAGAGTTAATAAAAATCCACCATAAGAATAATTCACGGAAATGGGTCTACAAATAGCCCAAACTGCAAACCTGGGCAAATGAACTATCCCTACTCCCTAAGTCCCTTACCTGAGTTGTACTTGGTAAGAAATAAGAGAGCACATCCAGAATGAATAGCAGAAAAGGCTGGTTAGCATTAACAGAGACATAGCTGTTTATTTTATAATGACATGTACAAAAGATGATTTTCTTGAGCCATTCCCTGAATATTCTTTTCATGAGGGACTGGGAGAGATCTTGTCAAAATTTGTACTCAATAATAGCCTAAAAGATTATTTTATACCCATGAGGAGACAAACAGGCATAAATACATTTTTATCTCATACCTAATTCCAGACTTGGTCCCAGAGTGTAAATCAAACCATTTATTTATTTAGCAAATCCACACAATTGGACCAGGCAGAAAAAAGGAAGATGTTACTTCAAATCTGGGAAACCACCAGGTTTACAGAAAAATCCCAATTTTTAAAAAAAGACAAAGATTTGGAGGTTTAGAACTTTTCCCAAATGGAAAACTTATGCACACACAACAATGTCAAAAGAAGCACTGACCAAGATCTTACAACGTTATGCTAGGCAACCCACATATACAAGGCATGTTTTTAAGTACACAATGGCTGAGGGGAGAAGTAGCAACCAGGAAGAGAGGAAAAAGGAGAGATTTGAGGGGGGAGAGGAAGTGGCAAGGGGGGACAAGTTAAGAAGGGGGGGCAATTGGGGGGCAGAATATTCCCTTTCTCATGCATCCTCACAGGTATCACCTTAGTTCATTTTTATTTGATATATTTTTATTTTACACTCATTATTTCGATACTAAGGTATACAGTAAGTAAAGATCTTAAGGTAGAAGGGAATATAGTTGTTACTGTTGTCCTATAGCATAAAAGCTTACTCTCTAATTTAAAGAATACAAAGATATTGCTACTGTTTTAAAGAAAAAAGCTACTAAGGGAAAACAAACTTCTAATCTTTATCATCTCCCTTATATATAAAAAGCCGAATGGTGGTTGCACTTCTCTAGAACATTCCACATGCTCCGGAATTGGTTGGCACCCTGGTGTGTCACTCAGAATCTGTCCCTATCCGCTGGCTGCATTGCTTGAGTCTTCCCTCCAACATTCTAAACAGTTTGCTGTTCCTCTCCCCCCCCCATAGCCAGTCAGAACACAGAGGTTATTTGCATATGCAGCCTCATTGGCCTTTGCCTCGGAACACAGAGGTCGTTTGCATTTGCGACTTGATTGGCTTTTGCCTCTAACATTCTAAACAGTTTGCTGTTCTGAGGTAAAATGTGTCCAATCTCCAGGTGAGGGCTGGAGATCACTCAGAATTACAACTGCTTTCCAGATGGCAGAGATCAGTTCCCCTGGAGAAAATGGTGGGATCTATATCCTTATATGCTGCTGAGGGGGCGACCGTATGACAGCCAATATGATGTAGCAGTCAGGGCTTCAGAGCACGGGAGAGGCTGCAGGTGTGGGGGGGGGGGAAAGCTGAAGCATGAGGGGGAAATAAAGGTAGGTTGATGATTGGCTGGGAAGGAGATAGGGTTGCCAGCTCCAGGTGAGAAATTCCTGGAGATGTGACGGTTGGAGCCTGGAGAGGGTGAGGGTTCAGGAGGCATGGGACCTCGGACAGGTACAAAGCCATAGACTCCACCCTCCAAACCAACCATTCCCTTCTGAGAAACCATCGTTGCCAATCTCCAGGTGAGGGCTGGAGATCACTCAAAATTACAATCGTTCTTTAGGTAGGGGAGATCAGTTCCTCTGGAGAAAATGGTGGACTCAGTGTCATTATACCCTGCTGAGGTCGCTACAGCAAATTGACACTGAGTGTTCAAGGTTGGGGCACCCGCCCAGAGCCTCTTTCTAGAGATCGTTGTATTTATTTACACAACACTTTCTAGAAGCCATTGTATTTATTTCCACAACGAGCCTTTTTCCTAGTAACATATAATTGCTGGATGGTGGTGGCTTGTGGCCTATGGGGTGACGAGATTGCATGTGCTCCCTCAGCCACTGGCCCGCCGGCTGCCAGTCAAGACTACTGGCGTGCCATTGGCCGGGTGTGCTGCTCTTCCCTGCCCACTCCCCCTTCCACTCTGCCCTGTCAGAGTTCCGGGCAAATGGCTTTGTCACTTTGACGAAGATGCTTCTACTGCTTGCCTCCTGTGTGGGACTTAACTTTTCCCTCAGTGGCTGTTGGTAGGTGTAACGAAATGGCAGTTACCTGTGTTTTGTAAGATGGCTGCTGTCTGTGGTTGTTTGTTTAAAATGTTCCACCATAAGGTTTAATTGAGCTGTAGTTCCAGAGAGGTCTCACTCACTGGGGTGAATGGGACTTCCTCATCTGCTGGACTACAGTTCCCAGCTGCCCCAAGGCAGAAAAGAGCGGGAAAACTAGGACTCTCCCAACGTGTGGGCGGCATCAATAGAGACTGAAGCCCATCCAGGGAGGAGGCCGTCTTCGTCCTACATGAGGTTAGAAAAGGCTCCTGCTGCCTGTGTTGACCAAGCTGTCCAGGCCACAGGCCAGAGATGTGGGGGAACCCTGCTCTCTTGGGCCAGAGAGAAAGAGGCTAGAGCAGAGAGCCAGAGGCTGGTGTGTAGGGGAAGAGGATGGCGTTTAACCCCTGTGGGTTTATGCTATGTTGCTTTATAGTGCGTGCTTACTCCTACAGTGAGTGTTTGCACCAGGGTTGCCAAATGTTTTTTGGCCGGGAGCAGGGGGCTCCCGGCCAGCGTCTTCGGCGTGCACATCACCCGGAAGTGACGTCGCATGCTGGGGGCGTGGCCACGCCATTTGAGGGGGAAACTCTTTGTTTTCCCCTCAAATGGCGTGGCCCCGCCCCCAGCGTGCGACGTCACTTCCGGGTGACGCGCACGCGGGGGTGGGGTTTCCCCCGGGCCCCGATTCCGTGGGAGCGGAAATCGGGGCTCGAAAGCGGGGGGAATTCCGCCCTCCCGGGGCATTTGGCAGCCCTAGTGTGCGCCCCATAACTGTGTAAATAGATAAATTCTTTTATTTGGGCTAATAATCTGTGTTGTGCTCAGACCACATAGTCTTCCCTGCTCTGCACAATAACAAAGGGAGGGGGTAGCCCAAGGAGGCAAGGAAAGGCCAGACCCTTGGCTTGCCAACTTTCCAGGGATCCACCAAAGATTGGGGATTTTATCTCCAAATACGGAGATTTGGCCAGAGGCGTCTCACTGTCCTTACAAAAATGCAGTGACGATTCAGTGAGTCATGGCAGCGAATTTAAGGAGTGAGATACGCGCACAGGACGAGGGTGGGAGGCAAACGGCTGAGTGATAAACTGGAGCCCATTTCGCCACAGTAGGCAACCAAGCTCGGTTCAGACAAAGGAAGGAAACCCTTTGCAGGCCTTTGTGAGGAACTCATTGGGGCCAGTACTGAGTCTAGGGTTGCCAGCTCCAGGTAGGGAGATTCCTGGAGATTTTCTGGGAGAGTCCATGAAAGCCAGGATTTGGGGAGGGGAGAGGCCTCAGCTGAACAGAATGCCATAAAGCCCACCTTCCAAAGCAGTTATTTTCTCGGGGGGGGGAGAGGTCTGCTGTCTGGAGTTCAGTTGTGATACCTGGTGATCTTCAGGCTCCACCTGGAGGTTGGCTACCATAGGCATAGCAATCAGTGCTTCAGAGCGTCAGAGCAGGGTCTGCTTGATCCAGGTTCTTGCTGTAGAAGCTAAGTGGGTGATTGTGGACCAGTCACAGACTTTCAGCCTAACCTACCTCACAGGGTTGTTGTGCAAGTCAAAAAGGGGAGAGGAGAATGATGTAAGCTGCTTTGGTCCCCATTGCAGAGAAAGACTACTTTTCATCCTGGGAAACCACTGTTGCCAATCTCCAGGTGAGGGCTGGAGATCACTCAGAATTACAACTGCTCTCCAGATGGCAGAGATCAGTTCCCCTGGAGAAAATGGTAAACTCTGTGGCAGTCAGGGCTTCAGAGCACGGAATAGGCTGCAGGTGTGTGTGTGTGGGGAAATGGAAAGCTGAAGGGAGAGGGGGAAATAAAGGTAGGTTGATGATTGGCTGGGAAGGAAATAGGCATGGAACCTGGAGAGGGTGAGGTTTGAGGAGGGGTGGGACCTCAGACAGATACAATGCCATAGACTCCACCCTCCCAACCAGCCATTCCCTTCTGGGGAACCACTGCTGCCAATCTCAGGAGAGGGGTGGAAATCACTCAGAATTACAACTGATCTCTAGGAGGGAGGGGGAAGGAGATGCAAAGCTGAAATCAGAGGGGCAGTTAATGGCAGGTTGAGGCTTGGCTGGGAAGAAGATAGGGTTGCCAACTCCAGGTTGGGAAATTCCTGGAGATTTGAGGGATGGAGCCTGGAGAGAGTAAGGTTTGAGGAGTGGTGGGACCTCAGACAGGTACAATGCCATAGACTCCACTCCACCCTCCCAACCAGCCATTTCATCCTGGGTAACAATAGTTGCCAATCTCCAGGTGAGGGCTGAAGATCACTGAAAATTACAACTGCTGTTCAGGTAGCAGAGATCAGTTCCTCCGGAGAAAATAGTGGACTCTGTGTCATTATACCCTGCTGAGATCGCCAGAGCACAGTGACGCTGAGTGCCCAAGGCCTTGGCACTCTCCCAGAGCCTCTTTCTAGAGCTCATTGTATTTATTTCCTCAACGAGCCTTATTCCTAGTGGTAGAATAAAAGAGCAGGCAATGATTGCAGACAGGTTTAAAACAGTGCATATCAGGAGCTAGAGTAAGAGGGTCAGTGTTTATCCTTAGCAACGAAGTGTTTCGAGAACTTAGAGATAACTATCAATAGCAGTCCATTACTAAATGTTTTATTCATTAATGCAGTGAATTTAGATTTCAACTGTCAGGGCAAGTTTACAGAATTGCTGAAGTAGCTTTCAAGCAAGTAGTTCTCCCCAGTGAAGCATTTAATTGGAACAATTTTCCCCCCCACAATATCTATTTGCTGTTGCTGAAGCTTCTAAAATTGATCAGAGGAAGTATTGTAAAGATGACAAAATATTCTCCTGGGATGAATTACTTCTCTCATCTATAGCCCAAGATATGGAAGGGCTACCCCCACTCTACCATTCATACACTAGGCAAGGAAGGTGAGAAAGGAAGATTAGTGATAGAGCAGTCCAAATAGCACTGGCTCTGCCCAAGAACTACTTTAGTGTGGAATGAAGCTTCTGTTTGGCTTCTAGTCAATGTAAATCACTGCTATATTGATACTGGCTTTGAAATCCTGCCCCTATGTGTTGATGAACTAGAGATGTAAGAGTTCCAAAAATCTTGAAGTCACTGGAAAAAATGCTGGTTTTCCCATTTTTCCCTGGGGGGGGGGGGAAACTGAAATTTTGGAGGGGGGGGGAATTGAAATGTATGCAATCTGTGCTTTCCTATCAAACTTAAAATACATAATTTGTAACTTAGGATATTGCATAAATGTCTTGATTTTCTGTCAGAAAGATTGCAAATATACCCAATACTTGGGAGAGAGTTGCAAACTGCTACAACCTACGCTACCTTAGCACATATATTTTAATTTCTGCCATTTTAGAGGTGGAAAAATGCAAAATTTTTAGTCAATTTTGTAGTCAACAAAATAATGCATATTATGTGGACTACCAGAATATTTAAATATTGTTAAACTTTATAATATTGAAAACAATGCTCTTTAATAATGTATTATTAATCACATTATAGCACATTGTTTCAAAAACTGTTTACATTTATACAAAAACATATTGTTGAAAATACGTTGTAAAATTCTATAGAACACATCAGTATTATCATTATTGACTATTGTAGACTCTTACATAAAAATGTTGATGCTACATATTTTGAGTAAAATCTCATTCCAAAAGGGGGGGAATCGAGTTTTTTTTTTTTGTGAGGGGGATTCAGAAAATTTGCAAAAACTTCTGAACTTTTTCATCCTATACATTTTGATAGAAGTCTTTTTAAAAGAAGCATTTCACTTATTCCTCCTAATAGGAGTCGCTTTCAGCACTCCCCAACATTTCCCAATTTTTCTATCACCCCCCCCCCCAAAAAAAATTTTCCCATTTTTTCCCTGAGTCTTCACATCTTTATAATGAACCCCATGGAACACTGTGGGAAGTAAAGGTGAAATCACCCAGTTCTGCTGACAGCAGTGCCTTCTGCAAGTGCATAACATAGTAAGGCTTCAAACCACTACCTGCAAATGAGCTGACAGATGCACTTACACCCTTACGTCTGTATTTTAATATATTGGTTGTTTTTAATCTGTTTCACTGTAAATCACTTTCAGCAATGAGAAAAGGTGGTACAGAAATGTAATAAATAAATAAAATTACATCTTGCCATGTTTTGGCCTCCCTCCCCACCCCCCATCAAGTGCCCTGTTCAAATACAGGTCATATCATTTGTATGGCATTTTTATATCCTTCCATATAGCATTCTGACCTAAAGAATTTGTATCCTAACTTCTCCCGACAGCTGATTATAAAGCAAACAAAAAACTTCACGTTACCCAAATGCTCACCAGAGATGTAACTTTCCCAGAAATTGACAGGGGAGGAGTAGGGTTGCCACCTACAGGTTGGGATATTCCTGGCGACCTGGGGGTGGAGCCTGGGGAGGGCAGGGTTTAGGGAGGGGAAGGACCCCATCGGGTTAAATGCCATAAATCCCACATTCCAAAGCAGCCACTTTCTCCAGGGGAACTGATCTCTATAGTCTGGAGATCAGTTGTAATTCCAGAAGATCTCCAAACCCCACATGGAGGATGGCAACCCTGGGAGGGGAGAAGACAATTTTCTCCAACATTTTGAAACTTTTCTTAGGGTCTTCACCTATCTATTTCTTACAGTTATTTCACTGCAGGAGAAAAGTGTATATGCTTCTGCTAGCTTAGCCTCTAGGCAATCTCACTTAAGCTTCTCAGAAGGCAGATTGTGCACAATTTGGTCACATTCTATGCTTAGCTGAAAGAATCTCAGTTCAGAAGAAGAGTACTTAGAATTTCCCACACTGGCAGTACATTTAGAATTCAAGAATATTTACTATTTGATGGGCACATGGATCAACACAATGCTTAATTACATGTGTTTAAGAGCTGGGCCTACGGACTATTCACTTACTTTGGTGTTGCTTCCTGTTTAATTACACTTCCTTCCTAACAAAGATATCATTCACATGTTGGTGGTGAGCTAAATACATACCAAATCTAGATATAAAATCTAGTCATGGATTTCACCATGGAGTGATTTTGAAAACTCATGAAGGAAATAAAAATGGTTCAATGAATCTACTACCTTTGGACCTCTCTAATTCATACTATGTAGCATATGTGTTTTGTCTACAAACATACTGTTTGATGATACACAGTCTTCATAGAACAGGAAAAGATAAGAATGACTGAAGAATTGTATGAGGGCCTTCTGAATCTTTTTAGCTTATTGGCCATTCTTTAAAAACTGAAAACAGCTACAAGCCTCACCACCAGCATCAGTTAGCAGCAAAAGCCTTCTCTCTGGGAAGTGCCAACCTTACAACAAGAGCCAAGTATATTTAGAAAGACTTTAAATAAAGATAATGCTTATTCAGGGGATGACAGGAATACTTCCTAAATTAAAAAATATAAACAATAGGCAAAACTACAAACCTGTGGGGGTCATCAGGGTCACAGTTTGGTAGGAAATTAGTCACCGCTTCTGCCACTTCTTCATTTAATAGTACATCCCAAAGTCCATCTGTAGCTAAAATCAAGACATCATCCGGGCCATGCCTATACTGGAGAAGATCATACACTCTCAGCTGAAAGTAAAATGAAAGAAAAAAGCAACACCATTAGTTGAAGGGGCCTTTCTGAGACTAGAAAACCCTTGACAAGCTGTATCGAATGCTGGCAGAAAAGCAACTCTGCACAATGTAAGACATTCACACACTAAAGAGAAGGTATTTAGGGACTGAAGTTCTAGCTGTTGGGAAAACTGGCAAAAAATACTTAGATATTCAGAGTTTGCAATGGATCTTTGCTTCACTGGAGAGGAGGCATTTCTTTCTGTGTAAAAATCTTTATTTATAAGGGAAGGGTACACAGGAAAATCTACAAAACAACAAAGACAAAGGTTTCATCTCTACAGCTACAGAACAGACCGACCACACGGTCTCACAACAACAAGTGTAATGGAGATTCTTCTTCTTGACCCCAGAAGGAAATCACCTGAATACATTAACCAATGATTGTGAGTAAACAGACTTAGATTTCCCGGGCTTTCTTCCCATTGGCTCTGAGCCAGGTTTCCCTTCCAGGTAAGAATAAACAACAGCACACAAGGTAAACAGATTAACCCTATAATGACTGAATTAGACCTTGCAACACACATATTTCCAACACCCCTTCTCAAGGTCTAACATGTAAGTCATTATTCATGCACATACAAACATAATTCATTATTCACTTTAATATTTGGCTCAACCATATTCAACATTTTACAAAGACGTTCAAATTTTTCTTTGGTCAGTGGCTTAGTCAAAATGTCAACCACCATTTCCTCTGTGCGACAATGTTCAATCTCTATTAGCCCCTTCTGGTACAAATCTTTCACAAGCGCACACTTAATACCAATAGATCTACTTCCTGCTGTGGTGCTTTCTCCCTTGCATACAGTAATACAAGCCTGATTGTCCCCAAACATAAGTACAGGTACAGGATCTCTTATTTCAAAGTACTTCAATAAATGAAAAATCAATTCAAGTCTACTGCAGGCACTTGCTGCTGAAACACTCAGCTTCTGCTATAGACTGCGCCACAACAGTTTGCTTTCTACTAGTCCAGTCTATTAGTCCATCTCCATAGATTAATAAGTATCCACTTGTTGACTTGAAATTGTTCGATTCTTCTCCCCAGTTGTCGTCCATATATTCAACTAGCCTTGGCCCTTCAGATGGTGCAATTTTCAGTTCTAAGTCCATTGTTCCTTTCAGGTACCTTGCTAGTTTCTTTATTGCGCTCCAATCATGATGGTTAGGTGAACTCACTTTTCTACACAAGATGCCAACTGATGCTGTGATGTCAGGCCTCGTGGTTTTGCTTAAGTAGAGAAGTTTTCCAACTGTATTCTCCAATGTCTTTGAGAAGTCTTCCATCCTTTTCCTTTAGATATCCAGGTTCAAGTGGTATGGATGATGCTTTGCAGTTTTTCATACCAACAGATTCTATAAAGTACATAATTTTTCATTTCTGGCATCCAAGAAAGGTTCCATCCTCGAGTCTTTCAACTTGTATTCCGAGGTAGTTTTTTACGTCTCCAAGCTGCTTGACTTCTACTTCCTTGTTCAGTCCATCAGCTATTTCTTTAATATCCTCTCTGTTTTGAGAAGACATTATCAAGTCATCAATGTAAACAAGAATGTACTGGTATTGTCCATTTTTAATTCTAGTGTACAGGCAACCTTGCTCAAAGCCTTGCGTCTGCAATAGTCCTGTAATTTTGTCATACCAAGCCTTTGCTTCTTGTTTTAGTCCATAGAGTCCTTTGTTGAGTCTGTAAATTTTGAGTCTGTAATTTTCTTGTCCTTCGACTCTGAAACACTCAGGTTGTTCCATAAATATTTCCTCAGATAGTTCTCCATTGAGAAATGCAGTCTTTATATCAAGACGCTCTACAGTCATGTCTCTTGATGTTGCAACACTAAGAAGTGTATGCAGGAAAATCTACAAAACAACAAAGACCTAAGGCTACATCTCTACAGCTGCAGAACAGACCGACCACACGGTCTCATAACAACTGTAATAGAGATTATTATTCTTCTTGACCCCTAGAAGGAAATCACCTGAATACATTAACCAATGAATGTGAGTAAACAGACTTCAATTTCCTGGGCTTTCTTCCCATTGGCTCTGAGCAAGGTTTCCCTTCCAGGTCAGTCTAAACAATAGCACACAAGGTAAACAGATTAGCCCTATAATGACTGAATTGCAACACACACGCATTTCCAACACTAGCAAGCAGTGCTGCTGCTGAACTGGACATCATTTGTGCTGGTTACTTCCCTAGCTCAACAAATGTTTGTACAATTTGAAAAGTTAGGAGCCCTTCAGCCATCCTTCTCCCTCCTCTAAAGACAAGGCAGATCAGCTTCATGGTAACCAAGAAAAAACCACTAGCACAGATCCTGTGCAGAACCAGAAAATTGAAAAGGGATAGCCCTGTTATATGATACGAGCTTAACAAATATTGTTAGTCTTTAAGGTGCCACTGGACTGGTTTTGTTTAACCAGAAAAAGCCTATAGACTGGAACCAACCAGCTTTTTTGCATGCTAAAAAGGAAAGCTGGGTCTGCTTTGATAAACCAACAATGCTATGCTGGGAATCGTGGATGCTGCACAGACAAAATCCATTTGGGGTGGGGGCTGTAGTGGGGATAGGAATTGAGTAAGACTGAGTGGGAAAGGTTGTTGTACCCAACCCTGTTTATACAGTTCACAGCATTCTCCAGTGCTCTGCCAGAATATGAACTAGTCAAAAATGTTCTCATAGATCACAATATTTTTCAGTCACCAGCATAGACACATACCCTAAGTCTGATCTTTGACACTGACAGCTTGTTGAATGTGGCATCTAGAATATACTCCTCAGCTAAATTGCTCAAGTTCACTGAAGCAGCATGCCAAGTAAAGTTATGTTTTTCAATGATGTCCCTTCTGTGAGGTCTTCTAGCTACCTGCATTCAACTTCCCATTGTCAAACCACCTGGCCTTGAATTCTGAAAGCAAAACCTTCAGGAGTCCTTCTGAACCACTAACCAAGCACTTTAATTACCCCAGCAATGACTGTATTTTAAAAAGAATGAAGCAACCTTGTCACAGCAGACAAGTGGAAATTATTATCTGAATCAAGATTTGGAAAAGGTGCACCTGGCCTGTATAGCTGCATTATCCTTGTGGCTGACAGGGTCAGTGCTCTACTGATATGTTGGGAATACACCACAGCACTGCTAGATGAGACTGTTTATCATATTTCCCCTGTGTGTTGATACTCATAGAAACTCAGGAGTAAAAAGTATAGAGAAAGACCTCTTCATGGAGTCAGACCCCCAACGCAAAATCTTTATTTCCCTGTAATTTGTGGGGAAAAACAGAATTAAACTATTGGTTCTAATGTTATTTGCTAAGGGTAGAGAAAGATGCAATTAAGGACTTAAAAGCAGGTAAACCAGACATACACTGAATGGCACACTCGTCATTTAAACTAGCCAAAACCAGAATCTGATTAACAGTCCTCTACCAAAGGACACACCATGACTTACACCATCCAGATACCAACAAAAATTACAGCAGCAAAGAATAATAAATATAACAAACTAAATCAGTGCTGATTGTTTCTTTCTTTCACTAATCAAGACAGAGAAGATACTGAGAATAGTCTATATATACATAACAGGCTTAATCCCCCTCCTGTTGGAATTTATACATAGGGTATCCCAGAAAATGTATATGGTTGCTTCAGTCTTTTTATAGCACAAACTGCTATAGGCTAATGCCAACTAATACAGCTGATTTGGTTCATATGCAAGGTCCACAGCTGAAGATCCATATGCAAGATCTCAGAAGTATTCTCTAATTGACTTTCCTTTCACATTTATACAGAAAAATTAGACATAATCCATGGCCAATATGTTAAATACTTCAGTTTTATCTGTGAAATTGTAGAGGAGACAAGTCTGCCACTTATCCCTTGCACCAAGGTTGATTGAATTCAGAGTCCATCAAAAAAATGAACACAGAAGATTCCATAGAGCACTAATTGCTTAATTTGTAGCTTAATTTGTAGTTTATGAAGAATGAAGAAAACAGGTTAGGAGTACCTAGTGGGGTAGCAAGCATGGACATATGACAGCACTGAATTGAAAATATCAGTTCTAGGAATAGTTACATTAAAGTTACATGAATACATGAAGCTCCTTTACACTTAGAACTACTGCCTAAAGGAATGAGCAAGCACATGAGTCTATGGTATATGCTCAACTTTCTAACAGGAAAAATTGGAGATGTAAGGTAGCAACAGGAAGCCACTAACAACAAACCTGCTACAACCACCTACACCCAATAAGGTTACATCCAGTTTTTAAGGCACTACATTTTAGACATCAGACTTCCAGTTTCCACACGACACAGGATATTTATGTTGGTGTCTTGTGAGTTCAATGGGATGAATGCCAGTTTACCACAGGATATGCTGTCTATATATAGCTTTCCTTTGTATAGAATACATCTTGCAATGTTTGAGATATCTGTCTTTTCCTAGAATACTTCCTCAATTCTTGGCTATATAACACCCAACCAAAAGCATGGACTGTTTTCATTTTGATTCATTTTAATGCATGAATCCCAGTTATCTCCTTTATGCTACATCCAAGTAGAAACACACATTTTACTAAATTCGCCCACAGAACATTCCTACACTCACTCTCACCTTTGAAATCTGTGGAGCTAAGTGGTTCTTCTGAGAAGTCTTCTTCCCTAACAAGTGATCACACTCTCTACAAAAGTGATGGTTTGAAAGAGGGTACCAGTCAACTTGGAGTTACTCAGTCCCGTTCCCCCCCCCCCCCGGAATTTTGTTATTAGTGGCTTTGGGTTCACTACTGTTTTTATTATGACTATTTTGTGTCCCAAATTTTAACAATTTTTAATGCACTGAGATTTTCATTGTGACAGCAATATGGTTCATACATTTTAAAATAAAGCCAATAAAGTGAATTCTGGGAAAACAAATTTTAACAACTACACAAGCCATGAGATGCTATGCTCCTAAAGCAGCCTAATCCCCTCCAAAGAACTACAGAGAAACCAACAATGTGGGCAGTGTTCTGCACTTAGCTACTTCAGTATTGATCATCAAAGCTACTCCAATAAAATAAATCCCCTCTTAATTGCATTGCTGTTTATTATGTCAAGCATTACAAGCCTGTTTTGCTGGCAAATATGGAATTTTTTTTCATTATAATCCAAGTAATTTATATGTAAATAATTAAAAAATGGTCCCAGCACTATTATCTGCAGCACTTACCAATTAACCTCCTTTTAAGATGATTTTTTTGTAAAAAACAGACCCAAACAATGCTTCTTTGTTTCCTGCCCTGTAGCTAATTTCCAGTGCAGCATGCCAACTTTCCACTTTATGGCTCCATGTATTTTATATTAATGCTGTGTCAAATGCTTTACATGCTATCTAAATATCAGTAGATAGCCATCAATTGAGCTTCCACTGTCTAGCAGCCTTAGCCACAGAGAAATGAATTTTGACCATCTTTTCCTTAAGTCATTATAACTTCCTTCATTCTACCCACCATGTAGTTAATTTGATGTCTGTGCTTCAGACAGTCAGACATTTCCCTCTTCCTGTGACCATAATAAAGATATTAATGTTCTACCTCTGGAGATGAAGACAAAAAAGGCTTGATGTAGATGTTTGAGTCATGCACCTTCAGGTCGTGGTCGCCAAGTCCTCTTGTAACCCCAATAGTTGCCATGACACGAGCCTGGGAATGAGGACACACACCAGTTTAAAAAAAAAAAACATGTTCTGAAAGGTATTTGTGTGAGAGTTAGAAAAAAGAGTCCAGTAGAAGCCTTGAAAATGAACAAAATTTATGTGAGAATTGGTAAGCAGCACCAGTAACCATGTTCAATGACTCTAGCAGAGCTAATCCTGCCACCTCCACCATGACCTACAGAAGATGATATACACCTCTATTGTGTATCAAGCAGGTTCACTGTATTTCAACAAACTGATGCAAATGTAGGATAGGAAACTGAAAATTTCTGTTTTCTTCATCTTCTTTTGCCTTAATAAGAGGCTAACCCTGACTGAGATTCAAAACACTCTTTTGGCTTAATAAGAGGCTAACCCTGGCTGAGATTCAAAACAGCCCAGTAGGACTGCCATTGAATGAATGAATGAATGAATGACAGACCCCTACACAACACCACACGCTGTTTCTGAAACTCTACTTGGGCCCCGGTCACACAGGCCGGATATCGCGGGGGGGAGGCGTGACTAATTGCCCTGGCGCCGTTTGATGCGCGATTATGTGATCAGACGCGCCGCCGGCACACCACGGGTCCTTCCCTCGGCGCCAGCGGGTAAACGAGGGACCGGAGGGGAATGCAGCGCACCGGCGTGATCACACCACGGGCGTCTGGAGGCAGCCCGTGGCAAACGTTTACTAGTACCTTGGAGGTACTAGTTTTTTTAAGGCGCACTGTTGGCGGTAAGCCACGGGTGCGCTCCACTTCCCAGATGTTGGGGTGTGATCGCGCCTGGATAATCCGCCCCACCATCCGTGCCTCTCCCGCGGCAACCGGGGCCTTGGTTTCTAGAGGGTTGTCAGGCAACTTTGTGGCTTCCTTGGACATGTGCAATGAGTTCCTTTTGATCCTGCCCAGTACCCTGAATCTATCAAGTATTTCAGACTCATCATAAGCCTGACATGTACAGCTATAACGTGTCAGTACCTGAACCATACTCCTTTCCCTTCTCTTATATCACTTAGGCACATCAGTCTCCTTTACAAAATAATCGTAGCATGAATAAATGTTCTTTACCAACCCTGCAGAAACATCTGCATTACCAGTGTCATTTTCACAAGCTCATTTAATAGGAGAATGGGGTTCTTTGGGTTGCTTCTGAAGCTGGTAGTTGATTTTACTAATGCTAAGCACGCTCAAGATTGGATCTAAAATACATTGACAATTTTAACAACAAAAAGCACTAGACCAACAAAACAAGGAGCAAATAAATTAAAAATAGCAGGTGTGCAAATTACTTTGAAAATTAAAAAACCTTATCAACACATACTGATAAGCTTACAGCAAGTTCAATCTTTGAATAACTAGATTAATTCTGAAGATAAGCTATTTTACAAAAATCAGATAAGCAGTCAAAACCATAGGAGAAGGAGCTGCTTAGGAAATACAGTGAATATACCAAGGCCAGAGATCTGAAACCTCAGTGTGCTTTTGATCCAAGAGCTACACGTATCAGGCTTGCTGGGATCAGGGCTGATAAACCTGCTATTCCTAATTATGTAGTTGGCAACATGTGGCTACTTCAGTTGAGTTACTGCAAGGAACCCTCTCTCCACCACTTCTGAAAGGGAATTTTATTACTAAAAAAATTAAATAGAGGATAAAGTTCACTAGGAATGTATCGGTCCAAAGTAGCTGTTCTCATGCATCCCCTTTCTCAATCAACACTTGAATCCAATCTTGGTTGATCTCAGTATATCAAAAAGCCATTCTCAAAAATAAATTACATCCACAAAGTGCCTTTGACTTTTTCCAGCTTCTTGGTTTACACCTTATTGGTCAAATATTTAACTTTAAACTTTACAATCAGATTGTGGAGTTGTCTGCAAATCAAACAGATGAATAATTTCTTCACAAATTGTCTCCTCAATTCCTCAAAATGAAACAAAATGAAATCCCATTAAACAGTAGATAGAATGGAATTTTGCAGTAAATGATATTAAACTGCTTTTTTTGAATATGCTGCCTCTTCCCACCACACACCACCCCCACACATACCCTGCAGACAGCGGGAACTGATTTACAGGAGACACAATATTCTTTCAAACAGTCATAATGAAAAAAAATAAAAGAGGAAGAGTGGAAAACACTGAACAAACTGCTAGGGGCTAAACTGAGTGGTAAACAATATCAGGCTCTATAGTCCTTTGAAATGACAAAACACTTATGGCCTACCTTCTTGCCTTCTCCGTATATAAGGGGAAATTTCAAGTCATCTTCTTCAATGGTTTTGTATGCCCTGCAGGAGGATAAACACCATTTTATACAGCTTGCACTAAGTTAGTGACCCTGACATTGGTGGCTGCATTTTTATTTTGCTATTCCCTCTCTTTTCCTTTCTAATATGCTGTTGATTTTTAACAATTAATATTTTCCCTTAGTATTTTGCTATTTGGCCACAATAAAAATGCAAATAACATAATGTAATTCTACAGAAAGAGAAGATGAACACGTAGCTTTAAAAGAGAAACATGGAAGTAAACTGAGGAAACATTACCAGAGGCTTCTATAGATCCACATACAGCAATGTGTTATCATAAGAGGAAAGAAGAGAATTATTTGGTAGCTATGGAAAATGGCAGGATTTGCATAAACTGATTTTAAAAGATATCGAGCATTAAATAAAAGATATGGCTGCACTTTAGTGAAACCTCACTTAACCTTGACTATGTCATTTAACATTACCAGAAATTATCCCCGTCATATCCTCCTACCACTTCCCAGATATCTGAAAGATACGAAAAGGTTACAAAATTCCTTCTAGAAAACAAATTCCTATTAAGAATTCTTATGCAGGGTTGCCTTGTGGATATTATCCCATACAGCTCCATGCATGACCCTATGTGTATATACAACAATGATCTTTTGTTGTTGTTGTTGTTCAGTCGCACAGTCGAGTCCGACTCTTCGCGACCCCATGGACAAGATCATGCCAGGCCTTTCTGTCTTCCGCTGTCCTCTGAAGTTTGCTCAGTTTCAGTTTCAATGATCTACTGCACACTAATTCTTAAACAGAATTGCTTTACACCTTGAATCATTTTTATGATTTGGAGTGATGACGACAGAAAATTGGGTTCCTATCCAACACTATTACCAATGTTGTTGAACCCCAATGGGTGAAAAACAGGTAGTCTGGTGATGGGAAATAAAGAAGACAGCAAACATGATGAAAAATGAGACCTCCCTGCCCCATCTCTTTCAAATAACCTCTGTGTGGAATATCAGGTTTGCGGTTGCGGATTAAGCAGTCTGGCTAATGTTTCAGCACCAGGACAGAGGATGGCAACATGCAAAGCGATCTCAATCAATTCACGACCAGATCCAGTTGACAACTGGAGATCTCAATTAGCCTGGTCAGCAGCTGCCACCACTGGCACCTGGTAGCAGCCACCCCCTGCCCTCCTCCCAAAACAAAGTAGCCCAGGCTGCTGCTTGTAAGGAGGGAAGCCACCTTCTCAACTTGCCAGCTACCATCTCCACACTACTGAAGGAAGTAAAGCATACCATCAAGTTGCAACTGACGCATGGTGACCCCATGACGGGGTTCTCAAGGCAAGAGATGAGCAGAGGTTGTTTGCCATTGCCTTCCTCTGCACAGCAGCCCCAGTCTTCCTTGGTGGTGGTCTCCCACCCAAGTACTCACCCTACTTAGCTTCCGAGCTCTGATGAGATTAGGCTAGTCTGGGCTATGAGGGCTGCTACTTCACTACTGAAGCTACTAGCAAAAATTAGTAAACTACACTAAGAGGATAGTCACAGCAATTGCCTCATCCTCCTCATCTCTTTGTGAGGAGCTGGTGTGAGGACAATCCAATAATTGATCAGAAGTGACTCTGGCTGGAAGTGATGTGACCAGTGCTGTGAACTGGCCCACACACGAGCCATCCTTTGATGGGCCACTAGGGTTGCCAAGTGGACTTACCCCTCGCGGCGGGGGAGCCTCGCCGCGGTCTGGGAGTTGTAGCTGCACGCGTGCATGCGCGCCAGCAGCACGTCACCAGAAGTGACGTGCGACGTTGCTGACGTTGGGGGCATGGCCAAGCTCGTCGGGGGGAAAACCATATGGTTTTCCCCCCGACGAGCTCAGCCACGCCCCCAACGTCAGCAACGTGACTGCGTCACCTCTGGTGACGCAGCTTCGGGGGCGGGGTTCCCCCCGGGGCCCAATTCCGCCACGGCAGAAATTGGGCCTCCGAAGCGGGGGATTCCCCACCCACCCCGGGCCCATTTGGCAACCCTATGGGCCACCCCACCAATCCTGAAAACGTTGTTCACCCCTGCCCTCGGACATTACTAAACCTGTCAAAGAAGAGGAAGCAGTTCTTTTTCCCACCAGCCAGTCTAGAACTGTTGGAAGAGAGGCCAAATAAGCACTGAAGGATTTTTCCATAGAACTGCCTTGAAACATTCCCACACAGTCCCTGTATTTATCTTATACAACTACAACCTTCTGGACTTTAAGCAACAAAAAGAATGTTTAAACTGTCTGTGTCATTTATAGGAAGTTCATGGTGTGTAAAAATAGAATACACCACTGCTGTATTCTCATGGACACAGACACACACAGAAGAAGAAAAGCCTTCTAAAGCATGCTGGCATGACACCACTTGAGAGATCTGCTTAATTCAACAGCAGTAAACAATAAAAGTGCAGCTAAATGGAGACTTTCCAACTTTCTCCTTCTTTTACAAACCATGGCCTCTGAAAGAAAACCAACGCCTGTGAAAGCATGACAGAAGCCACTGTAAACGTAAAGATGTAATAGGGCTTGTGGCTTTGAGCTGTCTTAAAACTGTCAGCTTTAAGACATCACAACAGAGGGGCTGTTAAAAATCAAATGCATCATCATTTATACTAAATGCTGAACTTTCTAAACTTGATGTTTCCCTTCACTTCACACTCTCCCAGGATTTGTAAAAGGTTGTTATTCATTAAATGTGAATTGTATCTGGAAAAATGAAACTAAAGAGCAGATTTACATGCTGCACAACTTTGTGCACACTTAAAATAACTAGTTATATTGGGATTTGCTGGAATACCCTCCCTTTCAAAACCATATTTAATTATTATATCCCTGAAGCTTTTGCTGTGTCTATGTCCAATTTTGGGCTGTTCTTGACAACCAGGAATCCCTGATACCAGGTGCTGTTTCCCTTCACTCGACTCTCTCCCAGGATTTGTAAAGGGCCGTTACTCATTAAATGCCAATCGTATATGGAAACCTGCATTTGGATTCAACATTGAAACTAAAAGTAGTAAAAAAACCCTGGCATTTTGGACAGGACCAAAGCTTCAGACTAACATCCCAATTGAAAAGCCGCACAGCAGCAGCTGATACTGCAAGACATCCTGGGCAGGGAGACAGAAGGACCAGACACATCTGCGTCACATGAACTACACAGTCCCCTTTTTAACTCCAAAACAGTTTTGCCCTTTCTGGCCTTTGCTACTCCCCATGACTCCTCATTTCATATCTAGAGTAAGTTTCCCTCAATTTTTAGGCAAGCCTGATTTCATCAGACCTCAGAAGCTAAGCAGGGTTGGCCCTGGTTAGTATTCAGATGGGGGACCTCCAAGGAATACCAGGGTCACTACTCAGAGGCAGGCAACGGCAAACCCCCTCCAAATATCTCTTGCCTCGAAAATCCCATGAGGGGTCACCATAAGTCAGCTGTGACTTGACAGCAAAAAAAATAAATATCTTCACACAGATATCTTGAGAGGGCTTGGCATGATGTGGTCCATTCCCACAGATATCTTAAGGAGGAGGATGACGACACTGGATTTATACCCCGTCCTTCACTCAGAGTCTCAGAGTGGCTTACAATTTCCTTCCCTTCCTCTCCCCACAACAGACACCCTGTGAGGTAGGTTGGGGCCGAGAGAGCTCTGACTGAGAACTGCTCCTGAGAGAACAGCTCTGAGAGAACTGTGGCTTGCTCTGGGTCACCCAGCAGCTGCATGTGGAGAATCAAACCCGGTTCTCCCAGATTAGAGTCTGTGCTCTTAACCCCTACACCAAACTGGCTCTCTTCTTTGGAAGGCAAAACGACATGGAGGCAACGTCATTTTTAGAATGAAGCACATCCATCAGTGCAGGATCAACAGTCCATCTGTATTTTGTTGAACTATTGCTTTAGTTATTTTTATTAAGAACATAAGAACATAAGAGACGCCAATGTTGGATCAGGCCAAAGGCCCATCCAGTCCAACACTCTGTGTCACACAGTGGCCAGAAATACCAGTGCCATCAGGAGGTCCAGCAGTGGGGCCAGGACATTAGAAGCCCTCCCACTGTTGACCCCCCCCCCAAGCACCAAGAAGACAGAGCATCACTTGCCCCAGAGCCCCTAGCTATACCTTGTGGCTAATAGCCACTGATGGACCTCTGCTCCATATGCTTATCTAATTCCCTTTTGAAGCCGTCCATGCTTGTAGCACCCACCACTTCCTGTGGCAGTGAATTCCATGTGTTAATCACTCTTTGGGTGAAGAAGTACTTCCTTTTATCCGTTCTAACCCGACCGCTCTGCAGTTTCATGGAGTGCCCACGAGTTCTTGTATTGTGAGAAAGGGAGAAAAGTACCTCTTTCTTTACCTGCTCTTTCCCATGCATAATCTTATAAACCTCGATCATGTCACCCCTCAGTCGTCTTTTCTCCAAGCTAAAGAGCCCTAAGCGCTTTAACCTTTCCTCATAGGGAAAGTGTTCCAACCCTTTTATCATTTGAGTTGCCCTTTTCTGCACTTTTTCCAAAGCTATAATATCCTTTTTAAGGTGTGGTGCCCAGAACTGCACACAGTATTCCAAATGAGGTCTCACCATTGATTTATATAGGGGCATTATTATATTGGCTGATCTGTTTTCAATACCCTTCCTAATAATCCCCAGCATAGCATTGGCCTTCTTTATTGCAGTCACACACTGTCTCGACATTTTCAGTGAGTTATCCACTACAACTCCAAGATCTCTCTCTTGCTCAGTCTCTGCCAGTTCAGACCCCATCAATGTGTATTTATATTTAGGATTTTTGGCTCCAATGTGCATCACCTTGCACTTGGCCACATTGAACCCCATTTGCCATGTTGACGCCCACTCGCCCATCCTTGACAGATCCCCTTGGAGTGCCTCACAATCCTCACTGGTTTTCACCACCCTGAACAACTTTGTATCATCCGCAAATTTAGCCACTTCACTGCTTACTCCCATCTCCAAATCATTAATGAACAAGTTAAAAA